CCACAGGAAGGCGTGCTCCTTCTGGACAGTGAGCCATGGTCTGAGAAGCGTCCAGCTTCAAAAGTGCAGCCAGAAGAAGATCAGACAACTCAAGCTGAAGTCAGACAAGCTGAAGATGTTGCAGAAAGCTCTCAGAAGCTCCCTGCTTCTAATGTTTCTCAAGCTGCCTTGGACAGGCAGACTCTGGAAGAGCTGAAGCTGAATGATATTCGTCTGCAGCAAAGAATGGATGAAAATGATCTGAAGATGAAGGAAAGGATGGATGTACAGGACAACAAGATAGATACAGTAGTCAGCATGGTGCACAAGCAGACTGAAATTGCTGATCAGATTAAGGCAATGCTGGAGACTCTGTTCACACGCTTTCCTCCCCAACCTTAGCTTTTCATTCATGATATTTTCAATGTTTTTCTTTGCATATCTTTTGTACTGTTTTGTCTGGCTCTGAAAATTTTAATATAACAAGTTTTTTTTTGCTCAAATCGTTTTAGCACATCACTTACACTTTTTGATTGCTGACAAAAAGGGGGAGAAAAAGAATGATATTTTTCAATAACGGATTACTGAGACAAAAGTCTCAAACATTCTAACTCTGATATACTTGAATGTTTTCTGTTTTTGCATAAGTCTACAGGTAATGCTCTCTGATACACTGAAGCCTAAAGCCCTGATACTCTGATCCAAAGCAAAGCTCTGATATTCTGATCTGAAGTTCTGATAGTCAAAGCTCTGATACTCTGATGTTCAAGAATTCAATAAAGATCTGATCCTGAAGAACTCTTGGAACTAAAAAGGGAAGTAATAAATTCAGGGGGAGTATCTCCGATCCTATCTCTGATATCTCTTTATCCCTTATCTTTGATAACTCCTTATTTAATTCTGATGCAACTCATCATTTAGTTATCTCTGATACTTTTTCACGCTATTTTCAATTAAAAAATATCTAGTTTTTGTCATCATCAAAAAGGGGGAGATTGTTAGAACAAAGTTTGAATCTACTACCCTAAGTTTAAGTTTTGATGATAACAAAATGAAAAGATATATTAATTATGTGATTCATGTAAGAACTACTTGCTACCTAAAATATTACTTTCTATTTTGCAGAAACTCTGATAGGTATCAGCAAGAGTACATCATAATCAGCATCAGAATATTGGTTATCAACATCAGCATCAGAAGATGCTATATCAGATACCATAATCAGAAGAACAACTCGCTTATGCTGAAGCTTGATGAACAGAACTGCGCTCAACACTCTGATCTCTGATAAAGACAACAACAGTTCATCAGCACTTAAGCAGCATCAGAATGAGCCAAAGCCAGAACACGCTTTAAGTAGCAACGACACTGTGCATTCAAGACGAGTTATTACCAACGGCATCATTCCAGACAAAATCTGCTTAATAAGGAAAGTTTGTTATTGGCATTGAATCAAGATTATTGCTCCAACGTTCACCAATTTCAATGTTATATAAACAAGACAATGAAGATTGAATTGGCTAATGCTCTACATCAATTTACACGCCTAAAAGCTATTCATCATCTTCTTATTTTCAGTTTGCTAAAAGCTCCAAATTCCTTACTCAATTATTTTAGCAATCTAGTTTCCATAAGCTTAAGTTGTGTAGTATCACAGTTGTGATAAACAGTTTTTGTAGAAAACATTCACACACCTAGATTTCTATTCTGTGTAAGAAAGTGATTCCTTGACAAACCGGTTTGTGGTTTGCATCAAGAAGGCTTTAGCAGTTGTTAAAGCAGATTGTAATATTCAGTTGAATATAGTGGATTAAGACCTCGTTGGAGAGAGGCGAAATCACCTTGAAGGGTGGACTGAAGTAGTTTGAGATCAAACGAATCAGGATAAAAATATCGTGTTCATTGCATTGATTTTCAGTTTTACAATTCAACCCCCCTTCTTGTGTTTTTCACTTCTTCATATACAACTTGTATCTTTAGAAATGTCTTGAGCCATGTAATTAGGTCAAGATGTTGTATTTGAGTCCTTGAGATCATGCTTTAAGCCATTAGATCATGCACTAGGTCAAAAGTCAATGATCAATCATTTTTAATCAAAATCCTAATTTGACAATTTTGACCTTTGAGGATTTGAGGGCTCTCCTTGAGTAATCATGATCAACCCTTTATCAAGTGATGAATATCACTTCAAAATGTTGATGTTGACCAAAAATCTTGAAGTTTGACTGTATATTGACCATAATTGACTTTTTACTCAATACAGTTGATTTTCAATCATCTGAGCCATTGATTGAGCAAACATGTGATGCAAGACTTGAAACTTGACATAAACATTATTGAGGACCTATAATGAATCAATAAAAGTCATTTGAGACCCTTGCAATTTATTCTTCCTTGTACAAGATGAAACTCTAGTTTTGAACCTATTGCTTAGGAGATGAGTTTGTTTGACCAACTCTTAAAAATCTTTGAGTATTTGAAAATTTTAGAAGAATACCTTAAAAAAATAGGAGGACAAACTTTGGGATACAACAGTAATTATCTGAATATTTTATGAAAATCAAATGATTAAGACTGATTTGTCAAAAACGCAATGTTAATCGTCCAATTTATGTTCAACAGGTTGGATTAGTTTACTTCCGCGACTATGCGTGATTCTTACGCCAAAATACTTATTGATGAAAGAACACTAATAGTGAATTATATATAGTCAATTGTATATGTTGATAAGGAAATGAATTTCTTGCCATCAAATAGTGATGTCAGAAAGATAAAGATCACAAGCTTCTGGTTTTGATTAGTGATCTATATAATTATATTTATTTATTAGTACGTTTTAAATTGGGATAGTCTTATTTCAATTAAATGATCTTCATTTAAGTTTGTTGATATGTATAATTGGAACACTACTTTGTTTTTTTAACAAATTTATTATTGTTATTATTAATGATATTAATCCAAATTTTTCATGCAGCATTATAACCATGTTTCAACTTTTCTAGAAATATATCTCTATAATTCCTCTCTCTCAATTAAAAATCTAATATTTTATATTTTTTATTTAAAAATCTGTTTGTTTCACTTAAATTATGTCGGAAAATAAATGTAATTTTGACAAATTTTTAATAATTACTAGATGTTTTATAATTCAACGAATTTCATTATTTTTTTCTATTGCACTATTAATAAATTATTATTAGCCAGAGTATCACTCTTTTTTTAATTATATCCTAAAATATATAAAATAATAAATAATTTTTAATTATATTAGAAATATTTCAAAATAAATAATTATATATCCTAAAATATATAATTTAAACTACAATTTTAATTTTACTAAATTCAAGGAATTCCATTAATTTTTTCTATTGTACTATTAATGAACATCGGAAGTTTTATCAATTCTAATTTAACATAATATTTCAATTTGAGATTTATATTATATAAATAATATTATATTTTAATTATAATTTTAATTATTATCAATAAAAAAGTAATATAAATTAATATATTTAAAATACTTAAACTGTTAGTAAATTTATAAATTAGTCTAAAGTACAAAATATATAACATTAACAATAAAAAACAAAAAATATTAATCACATTAATTTAAATATATTGGTTTATATTACTTTTTTATTGATAATAATTAAAATTATAATTAAAATATAATATTATTTATATAAACAGCGGATTTTTCTTTATTTTTATAGTATGATATTTTTAAGTTAAATAAACGAGAATAAGAAAATTTCACAAATACATTTATAAAAAAATTTCATAAATAAGAAAATTTCACATTTATTTATAAACAAGAATAAGTTATATATATATATATATATATATATATATATATATATATATATATATATATATATATATATATATATATATATATATATATATATATATATAAAAGAAAAAATTAAACTGTTGATACAACTATTTTTATAAATGAGAATAAATTATAAATATTTTTATAAATTAGAAATACTCAAATGTTAATACAATTATTTTTTAAAAAGGAATTACAAATATTTTTATTAGCAAAACAAATCAACCGTTGATACAATTATTTTCATAAACGAAAATAAGTGATATATATTTTTTACATGGACATATATATTCTGATAACTACTACAAATTGATAAACTAAATTAATATTTATATTACAATTTTTATTTAAATTTTTTTTATCTTATATCTAATATATTTTTATATATATATTTCTTAATCATAACTGTATAATGTTTAATCAAAGTATCATTCTTAGTATTTGACTTATAAAACTTAACTGTGTTTAAATTTATTTTCTATTAGATGATAAAATCATATAATATCAATAACATCCATAAATTTATAATACAGAAGAATTTAAAAATTATAGGCATGTTCGATGAGTCGAACCTATTTTTTCAATGCACCACAAAATATTTATTTAAATTGAACAGATATTAAAGATCATATATTTAATAACTTCTAAATTACTACACAAATTTAACAAACATAATATTATTCAATAACATAAAAAATAATCAAATTATTATCAATTTTAATTTGTTATTAAACTAATATGTTTTTGTTTGCTGTATAATATATTTTATTTTATAATATTTATTAATTAAAATTGTAAAATTAAAATTATAAATCATTATAAAAATTATAGGCATGATGGACGGATCAAATCTATTTTTACTGTATATCTTTACAAGAATTTATTAACCTAAAGTTCTGATAAATGTTGCTGGGTCCATCTCTCACATCCAATCCAATTTTTCTTAAAAGATTAAATATAAAAAATAAAAAATAAAACACTCGAACAATAATTAAGCAAGTGAAAACTAGGCCAGTGTGAAAAGGGTGTAGAGAGAGAAGAAGCAATAGTAGAAAGAAGAATCTACTAAAAAAGGAACCAACATTTCTTCTTCTTTTCTCATCTTCTACATCTTCACACAAAACCCCAACACCACATAACAATTCACAGCATCTTCTCTCTTTCCGTAACGAACTTCTCCGGCACCATGACCGGCGGCGGATCGTCGGGGAGGTTACCGACATGGAAAGAGAGAGAAAATAATAAGAGAAGAGAGAGAAGACGGAGAGCTATTGCTGCTAAGATCTACTCAGGTCTTCGAGCTCAAGGTAACTTCAAGCTTCCTAAACACTGTGATAACAACGAGGTTTTGAAAGCTCTTTGCTCTGAAGCTGGTTGGATCGTTGAAGAAGATGGAACTACGTATCGAAAGGTGGATAACATTCAAACTCAATCTCAGATCTGGTTTAATTGTTGTTTTAAATTTGAATTAGCTTTGTTTAATTCTCAGTTTTACTTGCTTTTTTGGCCTGATCTAGTTCAGTTTCAGTGGATTTGTTTTGTTTTGGTTGAAATTGAAGTTATGAATTGATCTTACAGTAACCTAGGTTTTTAATTTTGTGATTTAAGTTGTTTTAGTTGAACAATTTATTAGTTTCTTGAGCTTGTTGGTTAATTTCCTTTATTAGGATCTTTGACCTTTAATTAGGTACTTTTATTCTATTTTTTTTTCCTATGTTGTATAATGTCTAGTTGGTGAAACTGTTTTCTGCATAATGTAATTATAAACTACTAAATTGGAAGAAATTGATACTAATTTTTTAGAGAATTGTTGATATGTAACACCGACACATCTGCAAAAATATGTTATGTGTCCGTGTCGGTATTGCACACTTGCACGAACACTTGTGATTATGTTCAATTTATTTATTTATTTAAATTATTACTGGTGTTGCCGTGTCAGTGTTGGAGTCGTGTTTGAGGTGTTCGTGATTCATATTGATGTTAAGTGTTGTAGAAAGTTTTGATTCTTGTGCATAGGCTAATATGAGTTAATATATTTGAAACAGGGAAGTAAAAGACCACTACCGAATGAGATTGGAGGAACTCCGCCAAATATGAGTGTTTGTTCTTCGATTCAACCAAGTCCACAATCTTCATCGTTTCCGAGTCCACAATCGTCTTCGTTCCCGAGTCCGATACCATCCTATCATGCAAGTCCAACATCATCGTCTTTCCCGAGTCCGACTCGAATGGATGGAATTACAAACCACTCTTCATTTCTCTTACCATTTATTCGCAACATAACTTCTATCCCTACGAATCTTCCACCCCTTAGGATTTCCAACAGTGCTCCGGTTACCCCACCTCTTTCTTCTCCAAGAAGTTCGAAGAGAAAAGCAGATTTTGAATCCATCTCTAATGGTTCCTTTAACTCGTCCTTTCGCCACCCTCTTTTTGCTACCTCTGCACCGTCAAGTCCCTCGCGCCGTAACCACTTACCCCCATCCACCATTCCGGAATGTGATGAGTCAGATGTTTCAACAGTGGACTCTGGTCGATGGGTTAGTTTTCAGACAACAACTGCCCATGGTGCAGCACCTCCTTCCCCTACTTTTAATCTCATGAAACCAGTAATGCAGAAGATCACTCCCCAGGGTTCGATGGATATGATTCATATGAATGAAGGCATGCAATGGACTTCAGGTTCAGCTGCTGAGAGATGTAGAGGCTCAGATTTTGACTTTGAAAATGGCAGAGTTGTGAAGCCGTGGGAAGGTGAGCGAATTCACGAGGTAGGAATGGATGAATTGGACCTTACTCTGGGATTCGGTAAGGCCTGAAGATGATAAAAACCAACTTACATTTGTGTTCTACATTATACACCGTTTCGAAAAACCGAAGATTCAATTGCAATTCCTCAAAAAGTGTCCCTGGTTATCTGGGTGAGCAATGACATTGCATGAATCTGCTACTTCTGCATTAGTCAGGGAAATTCCAAATTGGGTGATATCCTATATTTTCCTTGTGTACAGTTCTTTTTATATAGCTGTGGTTAGTGGTTACTCTATATGAAATTTGACTTCAATTGTAATGCCTTGTTGATTGTTGAAGAGTTGCATTTCGAGCAACTTTAAGAAAGTATTTTGATGCTTGAATCTTACCAAGACCAAGGGAAACAAGGTGATACTCTTGCTTCTCTTATTGATGACATTTTGACATTTTCTTTTTCTTGATAATTCATTACATTTCTGAGCATCCAACTAAGTTTTTGTATTGTGTGTTTGTCATGGTTATAATTAATTTCACATTGATTGAGCTATCCTTTGCATCTTCAAAGTTACTGCATATTGTTTCAATTTATATGTTGATTCTGTGGTTTTCTATAAAGGGATCTAGATTGCTGCTCTGTTGTTTCAACTTTAATTTTGTTTGGAATGAGAAAAGAAAATAAGAGGAATGTTAGAAAAAAAAAAGACAAAATGATAGGATGTTGTTTAGAAGATGATTTGAAAATGAAGTAACACAAAAGGAGATTTTTCTACTTGCTTATTTAATTGGTTTGAAAAGTTAGAAGAATGATAAGGGATGTGTTTCAACTCTTGTGAGTTGTTTGAGTAACTACAGCTTTAATCCATCAATTATTCAGAGAATCTGCTACGAAACAACTTATATACGAGACAATTATCAAGCTACTACACGACTAAATTTTCTTTCAATTCCACGCTATGTCTTCTTCTTATTGTCCCTAAAATTATCGATTTTCTTAAAAGGAAATAAAATCTATGAACAGTTAAAAAAATCGAGAAGTAGAGGACAAATAGAGATATTCTTTTACTTTGAGCCTGTTTTTGTAGTGAGTAATAGATAAATTATTTTTAATTTTAAGAGTACTATAATAATATAAACTTTGCAAAAATTATGTTATATTTCTTCAAATTTTAAAATATATTAATCACAAATATTTGTTTATAATTCTATATAAAAATATTATTAAAAAGATATTTAATTAATTTTATAATACTTTTTTCTATTTAAAATTCTCTCATTTTCTCTAAAATTTTAAAGAGAGCTTAATACACGTGGATTGGAACCCCTTAAATGATCATTTTTATATCTTTGCTATGGATATACCTCACAAACTTCCGACCTCTTCTCAGGAGCTAAGTATATCACACCGACTGCAAAGGCTCCCTTGACGACTAAAACAAACAAGTCTCTTGACGACTAAAACAAATAAGTCTTTCGTAGAAGTTCTTGGTAGTGTCTACAACATTCCAACAAGTCAACTTCCTGTCACCCATGTTAAGGCCGACAAACTCTCCATCTCTATCTCTGCACATAAATATCTATTAGGTCTGGAACCTTCATGAAAGAATATTGTTGCTCAAAGATTCTTCACCTCTTACAGTTTTGTCATTGCGAGCAGCATTTCCACCTCAAATAGGTCACCATTTGGTCTAGATTTTGGACACTTTGTAAGAGTCCTAGTGGATATTGACCTTCTCAAGGAACTAAGATATAAAATTTTGGTTGAAAGAATAGGATTTGCATTCTTTGTGGAGATTGAATATGAAAAACTTTTAGAATTATGTCACTTTTGTATTGCCATTGGTCACTCAAACAACACCTGTAGAAGGAAAGCAGGAAAAGACATGGATAGAGGGAAAGACAAAAAGGAAGAAGTACACAAAGTCAATGCAGGGGAAAAGGACAAGCACGAAAGAAGCTAAGTTGAACTGTGGGAAACCAAAAGAGTTTCCCATTAATGTAGGTGAAAGTAGTGGGTGAGGAAAGAGGCTACTAATGCAAATCAAATTGATCCTGGTGCAATCATTGTTGCTGATGAGTTGAGACAAATGAATGATGGACACACATATGGAAACAATTGGATGCCAAATACTTGAGATAAAAATAAAATTAGCATTATTGAAAGCATAAGCTCTGATGATTCAGAGTTTGTTGATGCAACATAACTCAATTTCACTAAGGACATTATTAACAAAAATGAAGCATTCTTAGAAGAATCACAGGCCAACAAAAAAAGTTTTTAAAGACAAAGATGATATCTCAGATGAAGAAGACTTGCATCAATTTCAAATGGTTCTATCCAAATCACAAGAAAAGGCAAAAATCCAAATCCAGGGTAGTCTATCCAACTAGATAAAAAGCAGGTGGAAAAAATTTCTTCCCCCACAAAATTGGCTCTTAAAAAATATCATTAAAACACTTAAATCTGACTTTTGTTTTGTTGCAGAGCCATGTATGAATATTGTGAACTTCCCTTTGGCTTTTTAGAATGGTCTTGACCTTAAAGTCTTTGCAGTCAACTCTAGGGATCAACTTGCTCCAAATCTTTGGTGCATTTGCAATAAGTCCTTTGATTCTCAAGTTAACTCCATCTCAGATCAGCATGCCTTTTTTACTATTTTTACAGATGCTATTCAAATTGGCATAGGTTCTATATATGCATCAACTTGCTATGTTACAAGAAGAAGGTTGTGGAAAGAGCTCTCTATATGCCAATCTTCCACATCCATACCTTGGTGTTTTTTAGGAGATTTCAGCTCAATCTTAGGTGATCATGAGGGTAGGGGTATTCATAGTCATAATATAACTCATATGAATGACTTTAAAGTTTAGTCAGATAAAAAAACTTGGTGGACATTCCTACAAAGGGCTCAACTTTCACCTGGTCTAATGGTAGGTTTAGGAGAGCTTCTATGGAAAGGAAGCTTGATAGCGCTTTCTGAAAACCAACGGTGGCTGACTGCTACCTTTGCGTTAATAGTTTCTACTTTCCAAGACCGAGGTTTGATCCCCATTCCATCCTGTTTGAGGCATCTTTCTCTCCTCAAAGAGTGGTATCCTAGTTTAAATTCCTAAGCATATGGATCCAACATGACAATTGCAAAGATTTCATTTCTAATTGTTGTGATACTCATGTTCTGAGTTGCCCATTATACATCCTTAATAAAAAGATCTAACTTTTAAAAGCAAATCTCAAGATTTGGATCAAAGAGGTTTTTGGCGACATACACTTCTTAGTCAAATAATCTACTGAAAAGATTAGCAAAATTCTGATCATATCAATCTTGAAGGTCCAACTGATAGCCTTAGAGATCAAGAGAAGGTGGCTCAAAGTTATCTTGAGAAATAGATGAAATGGAAGAGTTGTTCTGGTTTGAGAAGGAAAAATTAAACTCGCATCATAGGAACATTGCATTCTTTCATAGAATGGAAAAAAAATCAAGAACTCAAGAAACATCATATCTAGGGATGTAAATGAATATTCATGGCGACAAATAATATGATATCCGTGTTTGTCTCGTTAGATAAATATGATATTCATATCTGTTCTATATTCGTGCGAGTATCCACTAAATAAATAATCTGCGGGTTTTAAGGTATCCACAAATATTTACAGTTATCCATGAATAACATTTTTTTTCTAATTTTCTTTCCAACTTCTTTTAAAGACACAAGAAGTTATTATCACATAACATCCATTCAAATCTCTCTTATTTTAACAATTTTTTTTTATCACATTGATTTTCTTCATTTTCACCTAAACAAAATATGATAAGTTCAGAACTTCTGGCCAGATTTTCATCACGACGCAAGATAATTCAGGAAGAACTTATGACACAAGAGTTGTAGATCTCAATGAGATATAAAACATTGCAAAACAGAACTTCTCCTAGAAATGCTGGAATTTCAAGTTATAAATCTTTGAAGACACGTCCATGAAACTAAAACACTTGGTAAACTCTGAGCGTTTCCAAGTCAGAATTTGGTTAGAACTTCTGGTCCAGTTTTCACGTGGGTTCAATCAAAGTTTGCAAAAGAGATTCAAAGAAGGCTTACAAAGCATGTTACAAGCTTTTTGGAAAGTCTGAGAACTTCTTCAGATCATGCTGGAACAGGGAGATTTAAAGATCAGAAGTTGGACATTTGTTCTTAATTTAAGTTACGTTTATGTTGAACTTCTGATCCAATTTCAAGCTATGATGCATAATCTCATGTTACAGGCTTTCTGGCTTGTTAAATCTCATCATCATTTAATGCTCACACCCACTTTTGAGTCTTTATCCAAAGAATTTTCCCATGTGTGGCATAGAAGTACCATTGATGTCCTTGGAGAGAACTTTTGTACAAAGTTTATGTTGGGCCCATGCTTTACTTTTGCTTTTGAATGTACTTCTCCACAAATCATGCCTACAAAATCAGATTAGGCGCGACTAAAGCTGTTAACCACTCTATTTGTGCCTTGAACCATACTTGTCTAAACTTGCTTCAAAAACAAGTCAATTATCCATAACACATGATGGTTATACTCTTGACTTCTCCAAGCTTCTAAATCCTTTGCCTATAAATTAAGCTTCATTTGCAACTGTTAAAGGGTCGGGAAAAACAATGAAAAAAGCCTTGAAACCTTGCTGAAAAATTCCAAGAACTTGAAACTGCAAACATAAACACGAAACCTGTTAGTTTTCTGTTTTCTGCATTCAAACTCTAATTTTTCTTGTGTGTTTCTGGACCAAATCATCCATACAGTTTCTAGAATACATATAGAAGCTTTCCCAACCTCTTTTTTCAAACTGTAGAACACTATTCATCACTCTCTGTTTCAAAAAACCAGAATTTTGCACCTTGACTGCACCTGAACTTTCCCATCATTCATAGCTCAAGCTAAGAGTTGCTTCAACTTTCTGAGAACTTGAGAAAGTTGATCAGAACATCACAACAACCTGAACCAGGCTCTAATTCATAGAATAATTTTCAGCTGCAAGGTAAGTTTCTTCTTACTTTTATCTCATTATCTAGACATTGTTAGGCTTTC